CAATGGGCCGTAGGCCTAGGCGTGGCTGGATTTGTTACTTTTTAGCTTTAAAGTCTCTTTCCACTGTAAAAAGCGAGAGACAAGGCTAGGCTGTATGGTTTGCAGAGACACCATCTCAAGGAAATAATTTACATAAATCCCTTTGTAACCTGGGGGAACCAATCTGCAAATAAATGGGACTGCGTCCAAAGATCTGAAGCTTTTGCTCCCTTGCAAAGCTCCCTCTCACTCCAACCAGTGTGTGCTTGTAGTTCATTGCGATCCTGGCAGGCCAAGAAATGGCAATTCCTCACCTGAGGGTAATTCCTCACCAGATAGAGTGGGAGGAAGGGAGGGAGAGAGAGAGAGACAGAGAGAAATATCGATGTGATAGAGCCACACCGACTGGTTGCTTCCTGCACAACCCCAACAAGGGCCGGGGACAAACCACAACCGAGATACGTGCCCTTGACCAGAATCGAACCTGCGGCTCCTTAGTTCATGGGCTGACACTCTAACCGCTGAGCTAAACCAACCAGGGTGTAAATTATTCTTTATTTCAGCTAGTGCTTCCTTTATTTCTGACTGGTCCCTTTTTATGCTCTTGAAATCCTCACTAAGTTCATTGACGTTCTCACAAAGTTCCTTGAAATTTTCACTAAGTTCCTTGAGCATCCTATAACCAGTGCTTTGGACTCTGCATCTGTTAGACTGCTTATCTCCATTTTGTTTAGTTCTTTTTCTGGAGTTTTGTTCTGTTCTTTCATTTGGGACATGTTTCTTTGTCTCTCATTTTTGCTGCCTCCCTGTGTTTGTTTCTATGTATTAGGTAGACCTGCTATGTCTCCTAGGCTTCCTAGGGTGGCCTGTTATAGGTGTCCTATAGGGTCCAGTGGCACAGCCTCCCTGGTCACCCCAGCGGGGCCCTTGAGATGCACCCCTCGTGTGGACTGTACACCCTTCTGTTGTAATTGAGTCTTGATTGCTGTTGGCGATGGAAGGGGTTTATTCAGGCTGATCAGCTGCAAGGACTGACTTTGCCTGCTGACCACCAGCCTCTGACTCCCTTGGAGGGTCAGCTATGCAGGGACCACTACACAGAGCAGGACTTACTTCAGCGGGGCTCTGGTACCCACTGAGTCCACTCCTTGAGTGTGTTGCTTGTGGAGGTGATTGAGTGGTGGTGCTTCGCCATGGTCTAAAGCTGTCCATTGGGTGTGCTGGTTCTGGGGCAAGGTCAGCCTCTGCCTGTGTTCTACCTGGGGCCACCAGGCATAAGCTACAAAGTGATCTGCAGATGGCTGCTTCTTGTGCTGGGCTTGGAGGTGTCCAGGCAAAGCTAAGTTGTGAGCCAAGGCTGGCTGCTTCTAGTGCCAGGCCCAGGACCACTTAACGAGAGGTATGGGGCACGCTGAGGTCAGATGCTGCTTGTTTGAGAGAATTTAGGAAAATCTGAGGCAGGATCCAAAACAGGCCAATTCTATGGTAAAGCCACTGGCAACAGATTGGGTGGGCCCGAAAGGTGGGTGGGGCCGGGCCTCAGGGAATCACCAGGGCGGGGCAAACAGTATGAGCCAGGTTGCTGGAGTCCCAGATATGTTGCCAGCTGCCTGCCCTGTGGGGGAAGGGCTCACCAAAGGGACATCAGCCGCTAACAGCACATCTGTCCAGGAGAAAGCTGCCTCTCCAGCCCTTGCTTTCAAGCGGCCTCCCCTGATCTGGAGCCTGGAAGATAGGAGTCTGAGTAAGTCCATGCACAGGCCCTTTAAGAGGAGCTGCCTGGGGCTCCCAGAGCCTCAGTTCCCGCTGGTTTTTCCAGCCAGAAGTGATGGGGATTCTCTTCCTGGCACTGGAACCCTGAGCTGGGAGCCTGGTGTGAGACGGGGACCCCTCAGTCCTCAGGGAGGACCTTCCCAGCCGAGGTGTCCTTTTGATTTTTATCCGCCACACGTGGATGTGGGACCAGCCCTTTCCCTCCGCCCTCCTACCAGTCTCGTGGCTGCTGCTTTAATCTCGTAGTTGTAGGACTTCCATTCAGCTGGATGTCAGGTGGTTTTGAATGATGGTTGTGTTGTTCAGCTGTCATTTTGATGTGGTTGTGGGAGAAAGGGTCCCTTTGTGTCCGAATCCTGCCAGGTAAGCCTGGCCCAGCACCAGCTGTGTGGGGGAGGGGGCAAGCTGAGGCAGGGCTTTAGCTCAAACTCCTAGCCCACCTGGTCCACCACAGCCCTGGGCACAACCAGCCAGCCCTCAGGGGTCACCGTCTGTGGATGGCAGACAAGCATGGTGAGGGTCAGAGTCTTTGTTTTTTGTTTTTTAATAATCAGATAGAGTGAGAGGGAGGGAGAGAGAGAGACAGAAAGAAACATTGATACGATAGAGCCACATCGACTAGTTGCCTCCCTCACAAGCCCAATCAGAGCCGGGGACAAACCGCAACCAAAGTACGTGCCCTTGGCCGAGAATTGAACTCGTGACTCTGGTCTGCGGGCCGACGCTCTAACCGCTGAGCCAAACCGGCCAGGGCCAGAGTCTTTGTTTTTTCTGAGCCTCACAGGAACCTCCAGAGGCTCTGGGGTTCAGGGACAGGAAGTGAACTGCACCAGGTGACGCTGCAGGTTGGCCACAGACCCCGTCAGTGGGACTCAGAGGCCCGGTCCTTTCCCACTGCATCACTTCCCCTCTGCGGCCAGGCTCCCTGTCTCAGCCACAGCCCCGGCTGCCCCGCCTTTGCTCGCCGAGGGGTGGAGACAGGTGCCATGCTGCAGAGCCCCCTCCTCACCAGTGGGGCCCTCTTCCTTGGCAGCAACGGGAAAGACCATAACTGGGGTCAGCATGCCTGGGCCTGGGCCACCTCCTACGCAAACATGAGTCCCCTGCGGCAGGCCCAAGGGTTGCCCACAGCCAGGTGGCCTGAGGGGACAAAAGAGCCTATGACCTTGAACAGGCCCTACCCCTCTGAAAGCCTCGATGCCTCATCCTTGCAGCAGGGGCCTGAACACCCCACTGCTTCCTATGCTCAGAGAGCAAGGGCCCGGCAGCTTCGGCAGGAGTCTCGGGCCACCCACCCCATTAGGCCTGTATCTAATAGCTACCTCCTTGTGACCACCTGGGGACCATGGCCAGCCTGCGAGCTCTTAGCCTTTGTTTCTAGCTTTGTTTGAAATACTTTATCATTCTCAGTCCTCCCAACCAGCTGGGGAAAGGCATTCATTAGCCTGACCCCATTCTACAGTTGAAACTGAGGCTCAGGAGGGTAAACCTGCCTAAGGTCACGAGCTCAGTGAGCAGCCAAGCACGGCAGGCAGCAGTTCTGGGCACCGGTGTGCAGGCTGGTCTTCCGTGGCTCCCCTTTGTCGACTGGCTTCTGCACAGGACAGAGCAGCCGCTGGAGAAGCCGCTGACGGCCATGGAGTGGTTGCTCAGCCCCACCGTGAGGCAGGGGTGGCCTCTGGGTTCTAGGGCTCCTGCCAACCCCGCTGGAGCTGGCAGCAGGGATGGCATCGTGTTCCCTCAGCACTTGGACGGCTTCCAGATCCTCAGCTAGAGAAGGCAGTGCCACTTTTCTTGTTAAATGGCACCAGGTGGCAAAGAAAACGTGGCACAGGGATTGAAGAGAGACAAAGGGTGCCCCATGCTGGTTGTGGGGGAGTCTAGGGGGTGATGGGGAGAACCTGCCCTTGTCCCCAGTGAAAAGTGACATGCCCGGAAAGGCCAGGCTGGCTGTGCCCACACTACCCTGCTCACTGCCCTCTCCTCAAAGCCTCCCTTTGCACTGCGGTACAGCGGCGCGTCCTGAGGCGCAGACCCCACCCGTGGGAGGGCTGCCCTTCCAGACAGCTGCTTTCTCAGGCACGAGGCGCATCCGCTTCTGTTCCTAGTTCAGGGCCTACTGAGCAGACGCCCGAGCCTTTGATCACCAGTGAGCCCGTAAGAAACGCCTGTAAGCAAACTGGAGAAGCAGAGGTTGGCTCTGCCACCAATCGGCTCTGGCCGCACCTCTGATTACAAGTCTCAGTTTCATTAACTGTGAAGTGGGGAAATATTACTGACCTCACAGGTCTGTTGGGAGGAGACAGGAGCGACTGTGAGAAGCATGTGGCATGCGGACCAGGCTCTGCAGAGCGTGACGCGCCCTGCCAATGTCCCCTGACATGTGGGGCCTCAACCGAAATCTACCAGCTGAGCTGCTGGGGGAGGGGGTGCAGGAGGCTCTCAGCCAGGCAGGCGTCTGTGAAACCTGATTGAGCCCCGGGGGGAGGAAGCCATGGGGAGAAAGGGCCCTACCCTCAGGATGCCTGAGTCTCAAGTTGGCCCCCCTCCAATGAAGATCATGACCACTGGCCGTGATGGTGACGTCAAAGCAGAGGCCCTGTGGTGCTGGCACTGCCCAGGGCTCCAACCAGGGACCGTCCTGACACCTGAGGATGGAGGGCAGGCCTGGCACAAGGAAGGTGAGGTTGCAGAGGTGCTGCCATGCTCCAAGGGAGCCAGGACGTGGCTCTCTCCCACTAGACCTCCGTTCGCCATCCCCCAAGCTGCCATGTCCCAGCTGGCCACAGGGGAGGGCAGGAGCCCAGCCTGGCTGGCAGATTTCTGGCACTTCCCCAGGTTCGGATTAGACCCAAGGGAGAAGGGAGGCAAGAGTTATGCATAGCCTGTTGCTGCCAACGCAGAACCCAGCCTCCCAGCCAGCGTATCTCAATTCATTCTCACGAAGGAATTCAATGTGTAACCCTGGGTTTGCACCAGCTTTTGAATGAGCTCTGTGATTTCAAATCACAGTCACTGTTCACGGAGTGCTTACCTGGCACCGTTCGAGGTATTAACACAATTTATTTTTCTTTATTGATTTTAGAGATGGAAACATCAATGAGAGAGAACATCGATTGGCCGCCTCCTGCAGGCCCCCCACTGGGGATCGGGCCCACAACCTGGGCATGTGCCCTGACTGGGAATCAAACGGGTGAACTCTTGGTGCAGGAGCTGACGCTCACACTGAGCCACATCGGCTGGGCTGTTAACATAATTTATTAAGAAATACATCAGCACACAAACAGGCACAGGGGTAACACCAGCTCAGACCCTTCACTGTTGTCCTGTCAGTCAGCCCTCACAGCCCAAGGGAGAACGAGCTCACTTCACCTGGGGAAACTGAGGTGCCAAGAGGCAACAACCAGGTTCTCTAAGAATAGCAAGGCTCAGAGGTGGAGTCAAACTGGGCTCATGGAGACCAAGTTCCCCTCCCCAACCCTACTCTTAAGTGTTCTGAGTCAGTTCATCTGCAAAATCAAAGTGGTGGGTGAGACCATGAATTTCAAGTTGTTTTTAGCTACAGACCCTTTGTTCAAATGAAGTCTTGAGTGGAAATGGACCATGTCCAGTGGATAAAGACAAGGCTCTGCTGGAGTGAGTGTGGGGGGAGGGGGCTGGTCCCACCACTGGGACTCCCAGCCCAGCACTCCCTGCCCGAGCACAGATGAGGGGCCTGCGGAGCCTTAAGCAGCCTTCAGCCGGGCGCCCTCACAGGTCCTCTGGGAAGGGGCTCTCGGAGCTCCTCAGCAGAGACAGCAGGCTCAGGGCTGAGACGCCGGGCACGTGGCCAGCGCAGATCTGCAGCATGCGGACCAGGCGCTGCGCCATGGTGACGCGGAAGCCCTCCACCTGCAGGGGAAGAGCAGAGAACAGCGGTCAGAGCAGCTGCACGGGCTGCCGAGGCGGGCTGGGGTCCGAGACCTGTGCACCACTGCCCATCACGGCACGACCTTGTCCATGGCAGCTCTCCAGGCAGCTTCCAAGGCCTTCAGGGACCCCAGAGGCGATGAGCCCCGCTACAGAGGAAACGAAGGCTCAGCAGCGGGGCTGGCGAGGTAGGTCAACTGCCTGGAGTCAAACTCTGGTGACCACAGAGCTGGCATCTCAACCAGAGGCCAGTTCTGACCACCACCCAGGGGGCCAGAGACCCCGAAGGCTCCCGTATCTGGATCTGAGAGCCACTCCAGGGATGTGAAGAGGGGTGGACAGAGTGGCCCTCACCGGGAATAGGGAAATGGCATCAACAAAGAGCTCCTTTATCCAGGCTTCTGTGGGCCGCTGGGCCTGCGGAGCTGTGGGTGAGACGGTCCCAGGGCCTGGCACTAGCTCGCGAGGAAAACTGAGACTCCATAAATGCTTGTTGAAGAACAAACAGTGTTGTTCAGGTGTCCTCCCTGGCAACAGGTGGCCAGGAAAACATCTCCTCTTCCCCCTGTTCCCTCTCCAGCTGGGGAAGGGGTGTCACTGTCCACCCAATGGCCCAAACTAGAGCCCAGGCATCCTCACGTGCTGTTGCTCTTACCCCCACTGTGTATCACTTGTCACCTCGGTTCTAAATCCAGGGGTCAAGTCTCGGTCCTCATTGAACCGGCCTCATTCTCACCAAGACTCTCCAGTAGAATCGGACTCAGCCCCTCCCTTCCTCCCTCCTTGAAATGCTTCCCCCCCTCGCTCCTAGGTCCCTACAGTCACCCAGCTTTCCCACCTCCCAGGCTGTCCACCTCTGTCCAGCATCTAAATGCTGGGGCTCCAGTGCCTGGCCTTTGCACCCCATCTCCCCACACTGACTCCCTAGGTTACTGCGCCCAGTTCTGTGGCTCAAAAACCATCTCCATCCCAAATTCTATCTCCAGACCTTTCCTCTGAATGTCAGACACACGTATCAGCTGCCTACTCGGTTTCTGTGTAGATACCTAAGAGACACCTTAACCTCAGCATGTTAACCTCCAAAGTGGGGTCCCTGGGAATCCCCCAAACCTGCTCCTCCTGTGGTGGACCCATCTCAGCCAAAGGCCAAAAACTCCAGAGTCCCCTCGACATTCCTTACTCTCATGCCTCATACCCAGGCCACCAAAACAGTCCATTGGTGCCGCCCCGGAAACAGCCAGTGTGGTAGACCACCTCGTCTCCCTCTTCCCTGGCACCACCGAGTCCAGACCACTGTCAGCTCTCCAGAAACAGCCTCTGGGCCTGTCTCCCCACTCCTGCCCTTGCCTGCCTTCAGTCTACTCTCCTCCCAAGAGATGCAGGGGTCCACTGAAAACCCCAGCCAGGCCACATCCTGCCCTGGTCCACTCCCTGCAGTGGCTCCAGTTCTACTCAGAGCAAAAGCCACTGCCTTGACTCCGACCCACAAGGCCCTACAGGTCTGGCCACTGACCATCTCCCACTGCTCTGCCCTTGTCTGCTCTGCTCGAGCCATCCACGCGTCCCTGGGACCCGGAACACACCAGGCAAGTTCCAAACTCAGGGCCTTTGCACTTGCTGCTTCTGCCTAGAGTGCTTCCCACCCGGAGCCGCCATGGCTTGCCTTCTCACCCGTCTTTCCTTAGAGGTCGCTTTTCTAGTCAACTCCCTCCCTGCCACCCTGGCTGAACTTCACCGACACCTGACATGTCACCCCCCCCGCCATTTTCCACTGCTTTGTTCTACGCTGCATCTAGACATGTAAAAAATATTTGTTGAATACATCCTCTTACTCTAAGTTCTGTGGCCTTTACCCCCCCCCCCAAATATAGCTCCAAACTGCTGACCTCACTCAGGCTCCACAGCCTGCCGCCTGCCTCCGGCCAAGCCTTCTCCAATCACACACCACACTCCAGACACGTGGCCCCCAAACCCGGCTGACCACATCCCGAGGGCCCCTGTCATCTACAGGAAGGGATGACTTAATCCCACTGCCAGGCTTCCAAAGCTCTGCAAATTCTCTGTTGCATATAGAACGTGTCAGCCCATCTCACTAATTCTCAGAGGGGAGGGCCAATGTCTGACTCATTTGTGTTCTCAGGACCAGAACTAGGAAATCAGCAGAGCTAGGAAACAATTTCCCTCGGTGGATCCCACACCACGCTGAGTGGGTTTCCTCATGTGTAAAATGGGGCGATAAGTTTTGCCACACAAAGGCCTCAAAATATGGTGAGGCCCAAACTTGATTATGCGGAGGAGTGTGCCCCGAAAGGACGACACAGGTTTGCGGGTGATGACTGTCCAAGCACTGTGTGCCTCCTCTGAGGACGCCAGATCTGAGTCCGCAGCAGGTCAGCAGCTGGCTGGAAAGAGCAGGTCACAGGCCTTTTCTCAAGTTCTCAGGGTCCAGGGTAACCCAGGACCTGGTGTGGACTGCCACCTACTGGCCATACACAGAACTGCACCACCCGCCACAAGGTGAGCTGGCACCCACGCACACCTGCTATTTCTATTGGCAACAGTCACAGGTTCTGCTACTACTACTGACATCTCTTGCCTACACTCATAACGCTAAATTTCACTTAGAGGTTAGTAAAATATAAGAAGTAATTTTCTTCACAACCAAGTTCACAGATCCCCTCAATTCTACTCAGATCAGAGAGGTCCACAGACACCAGAATAAGAAGCCCAGATCCAAATGGTGGTGAAGGACCGTATGCTGACTCAGTTCTCACTGTGTTACACCACTTTGCCTTTGGGAACAGAACAGGGAAGAGACACAAGTCTTCTAAATGAAGCTCAAAGCCAGTAATCAGACCCCAAAACCACCTGAGCTGGCCTGGCACATGGAGCCCTCGGCAGACTTCCCAGAGGGAGCAGCATCACCTCCTGCTCAGGACCCGGTAGCAGTTGTCAGGATTCCTACTGCAGAAGGAAGCTGAAGAGCAAAACAGAAATCTGCTCGGCACCCCCATCAGGGCTCACCTCGAGGAAAGCACCAACGTGAGTCAGGGCAGAACCAACACCATGTGCATCCTTCCAACACCTACGCCCCACTCACCGTTCGCTGCCTGTTAGGCCTGTCATCAGAGAGGTAAGGGTAGGCAGTCTGACCGCGGAGGGTCACAAGGATGCACTGGACTCACAGAACTTACTCCCTAGTAAGAATGAGATATCAACCTGGACCCACAAATAACACACAAGACTTGGTTATGAGCAGAGAAAACAAAAGAAAAGGCAAGAGAACAAGTGATAGCACTTGGCAAATAAGAGGCACTCAAGATGAATGTATGTCATCACGCCACTTCACACCTGTGTGCTATGGCTTAGGGTGACCCACCCAAGTCACAGCCAGTGAGCAGAAAAGCCAGGATTCAAACCAGGACTTATGTCTCCACATCAGGAGCCCCTCACGCAGTACTCGGGGATCCTCCACTGTGTGCTCAGTCCTCACCTCCAGGTCACAGAAGAGCAGGGGGCTCCGGTAGGCTTGGGCCAGCTTCGGCACAGTGTTCCGGTGGATGCAGCAGTGACTCTCCCGCCCAGCTGCAAAGAAGCCGTGAGCGCTAGTGTAACCACTACTTCGTGCTGCAATCTAGGAAGCACAGGGCAAAGCAGTTCATGTCCCTCTCTCTGGGCCTGTTTCTGACTAGTCAGGGAGGGACAGTCCTGTTCCACCTTCTCTCCAGGGCTGTCGAGAGAGGACTGTATGAAAACAGTTTTCTCATCTATAAAATGAGGATAGTAACAGCTCCACTGAGTTACTATAGAGACTCAGTGAATTGATATATAAAAATGACCTGGTATTCATTTATTCACCAATGCTTTTTATTCCTATTTTTATTTTTTTAAAGGTTTTTTTAATTGATTTTTTTTTCTTTATCCTCACCCGAGGACATTTTTGCATAGAACCAGAGGGAGAGAGAGAGGATGAGAGAAAGAAACATCAATGTAAGAGAGATACATCGAGTGGCTGCCATCCACACGACCCCAGTGGGGCAGGGGACAAACTGCACCAAGATATCTGCCCTTAACGGGAACCGAACCTGCGTCTCTCTGGACTGCAGGTTGACACTCTAACCGCTGAGCCAAACCGGCAAGGGCTAATTGATTTTTTTTAGAGAAACACTGATGTAAGAGTGAAACACTTATCAGTTGCCTCCTGCATGCCCCCTACTGGGCATTGAGCCCACACCTGGACATGTGCCCTGACTGGGAATCGAACCGGCAACCTTTTGGTGCATGGGTCAACACCAACTGAGCCATACCAGCCAGGGCTCACCAATGCTTTCTGAGAATAACCTGTGCTGGCCCTTCCCCAAAAGAAGCTCACAGTTCAGCCTGGGGGGCAGATAGGTCAGACACACCCTCGGTGCAGGATGGGTGTCCTGAAGGTCCGGATCGCAGGGCTGCTTGGGGAGGCTTCCCCCAGGATGCAGAAAAGAGGGTTAGGTAGACAGAAGAGGAAGAGTATCTGAGAGAAGCCACATGGCTCAGAAATATGACTACAGCCGGCCCTTGTTTATCACAGTTAATCAGTTCCAGACTCTACTGTGATAAATGAATTTCCGCAAAGCAGAATTATTTACATACCGTCATCCCTCGCCACGTCACACTTTGACTTGCGCGGCTTCACAAACTATCACGGTTTTTCAAATAAACCGAATTAAAAAACTGTGATAGAGTGAAGCCGCGCAAGTCAAAGCATGACGTGGCGAGGGACGACTGTATCTAGGTATGAATCTCAGCTCTACCACTTTTTATTTTTGTATTTATTTTAATTTTTTTTCTTTATTGATTTTAGAGAGAGAGGAAGGGAAAGGGAGATAGAAACATCGACGAGAGAACATCGATGGCCGCCTCCTGCATGCCCCCTACTGGGGATCGGGCCCACAACCTGGGCATGTGCCCTGACTAGGAATTGAACTGGCGACCTCTTGCTGCAAGGGTTGATGCTCAACCACTGAGTCACACCGGCTGGGCAGCTCTACCACATTTTAGCTATGAGGACTTGGGCAAGTTAACCTCATGCCAGTTTCCTCAGCTATAAAAGAGAGTTAGTAATGCCAGCCGCAAAGGGTTGCTTGCTGTGAAGATGAGTGGCAGAATCGAGGCACTCGGAGAGCGGCATCTGCAGACACTGAGTGCCCACCAAAGGCTGGCTATCGTATCTGCACAGTCGGCAAGACAAAGTCAGAGACAGCAGAACTACAAGCTGAACCAAAGAATGAGAGAGTGGTAGGAGGTGAGGCTGGCGGGAAGGCAGAGGCCAAGTTGCAGAACTCACTGTGCCTTTTCGGGAGTTTGGGTTTTACTCGAAAACCACCAGGCAACTCTAAACAATGATCTCAGCAGAGTGAACTCAGTGAAACGACCTGCTCAGATGTGCTTTCAGAAAGCCGACAACAGGTCAGATTCTAAAGCCCGGGTTCCTGCCATCAGCCAGGAGCCTTAGCAAGGAGCCCACCACATGGCAAACTGCCCTGGGCTGGGGGTGGGCAGCAGCGGGGCCAGATGCACTTACCGCCGGTGGCCAGGAAGCTCACCTTCCCCAGGAAGAAGGTGGCGTCCACATGGTGCAGGGACTCCTCCACGTTCTGCAGGCTGATGTGGCCAGGCCAGGGCGAGAAAACAAACCAGAGGACAACCTTACAACAGAGAAGGCAGTGCCCCCACTCCTCATCCCAGAGGCCAGAGAACGAGGGGAGGGTGACAGGAAACTGCCCAGAGTATTGCAATACTTTGTCCTTTCATTTTTTTAAAACTACTTTTAATTACAAAGTGACTCGAGCCTGTAAAATAATGAAATAGTAAATATGGATGTATAATAAAAAGTAAAAGCCCCCCTCCAGCACTAGCCTTTAGTCCCAACTCCCCTGAGGAATTGAACAACAGTTTAGGGTATAGTTCTAGAAGTTTCACACGTAAATGCAATAACAGGTACGAGCATTTAGCTGGGTTTAGTTGGTTTCGAGGCATCTGTTTCATTGTCTGGAATGTCCACGGCAACATATGTTTCCCAGGGACGGACATTCCCGCGGTCTCCACTTCTTTCTTGGTACAAAGATGCTGCAGGAACATCCGTTTACACGCCCAAGCAAACGTGTCTGGAGGACAGGACAACTGCTCGGTCACAGTATGTGTCTTTTTAATGTGTGTGTGTGTGTATTGCCAAGTTACTTTCCAATAAGGCTACAGTATTTAGACAAGGGTACCTTGACCTCCAGGCCAAGGCTTTCATTCCCTGGTGTCCGGCCTTGAGTGACGAAGGAGTCTATGGTCTCCTGCTAAAAAGCCATCTTGGTCAGGTGGCCCCAGCCCAGGTTTCAGCCTGAACAAACAAGGCCAACAGCAGATGTCCCTGTCCCCAAGAGTGGCTGGAGAGCAGGATCTCTCCAAAGACCAGCCAGGGTCCCTTTCGGTGAAGAGAGGCTTCACCCAAACAGCAATAGGTCTGCTGGGCCAGGACCCTCAGGCAGTCACGGCAGATCTCACACTTGCTCAGCCCTCCACAGGCTCAAGTCACTGCTGACTAGTTCCACCTGGTCAGGTGGCGAGTCTGGACTTAATCCTGATGCTGTGTGTATCTGGTGTCTCTAAGTCCCTGGGATCCAGGTGTTTCCCCCACAGCCTTCCCCTGACCCCCACCATCTGACCAGGGGTCTGTGTTGGTTTCTGTCCTGGACCCTGTGCCCTGCCTAACCTCAGTCAGCTGTCCCCCAGGAGGGAGAGGGCAGACCTTCCTTGTGTGCTCCTCAGACTGGCTGCAGTCCTATCCCCGGTGCTGCCGGCACCACGGGGAGGCCAGGCCGGGCCACTCTTGCTGCCGCTGCCGTCGCCCCACACTAGGCTGGGCTCCTGACCTCGCACAGGCCTTAACAGTCCTCTAAACACACTAGACTTTTTTTTTCTATTTATCATTAGGTAGAGTGGAAGGGAGGGACGGAGAGAAAGAAACATCGATGTGATAGAGACACATCAACTGGTTGCCTCCCGCACGACCCAACCAGGGCCGGGGACAAACTGCAACCCAGCTACGTGCCCTTAACTAGAATCGAACCTGTGACTCATAGGTCCGCAGGCCAATGCTCTAACTGGTAAGCCAAACCAGCCAGGGCAAAATACACTATACTTTTTATATGAACTCTTCACCTGGAACTTTGTGCTCACTCCTATCTTTACCTGGCCAACTCTTCACCTTTCGGGTGTTGATTTAGGTGTCACCGCCACCAGAAAGTCTACCCCGACAGCCCCGAGAGCCAGAGGTCTTGTGTGGGTTCTCAGTGTTCAAAAGTCCAGCTCCTCCCGGAACGGACTCAGAGCACGTTGAGGTCAGGGGTCTGTGTCATCCATCTCTGTACCTGCTATCAGGGATACAGAGTAGACCTCAGAGAGCATTAGCCAAATGACAGACGACATTGCTAGGATTCATCCACGTCTTTTAAACATCTTGCACTGGCCCTGGCTGGTTTGGCTCAGCGGTTAGAGCATCGGCCTGCGGTCCGGAGAGGCCCGGGTTCGGTTCCCGCTAAGGGCATGTACCTCGGTTGCGGTTTGTCCCCGGCCCTGGTTGGTTGTGCGGGTGGCAGCCACTCGATGTGTCCCTTTCACGTCGATGTTTCTCTCTCTCTCTTCCTCTCCCTCCCTCCCACTCTATCTGTACAAAAAATGGAAAAATGTCCTCGGGTGAGGATAAAAAATAAAAATAAAAATAAACATCTTGCACTGGCCACTGGCTCCCCCTCCTCACCCTCTAGGTTAGCCCCAGGCAGCCTCTCCCCTCCTCCTCTCCTTTCCATCATAAGTGAGGTCACTGACCCAGCATACCCCTAAGTCAGGTCCACATGAGCCCCGACAGCCCCATACTCTAGCTCTCACCTGTATTTGCTGTGAAGGTTGATCAAGAACACAATTAGGTCAATTCTGGGGCGACTCACATTGGAAGGCAGAGGGAGGGAATGAGCCAAGTGGCTGAAAAACAAGAAATTGCACGCAACAATAACCTATAATGTATAACTTTGGCAAGTTTAGGATTCAATTTTTCTGAACTATTTTCATTGAATATATGAATTTTTTGTCTCTGAAAAAAATGTAAATGTATGTCATTGGATGCATAAAAGAAGTACCTTATATATACCTGTTGAACATTTAATGCTTACACTTTTCCTTATTATAAATAAAAATTCAATGAAATTCTTCTATATAAAAAAAAAAGAAGAAGAAATTGCAGGACTAAAGATACATGCCCACATGCCTGTGACCTGTGACCATTCATATGCTGTCCCTCACAGCAAAAGGCTGTCAAAGGCACCTCCCCTATTCACCTGACGCCCTTCTGAGCAAGACTCCGCTGGTGCGCAGAGGGGCAGGGCAGAGACGGTCCTATCCAGATTACTTTCTGTGGCTCCTCTGGCAGAAAGGAATTCTGTTTGGTAACCGCCTTAAGAGGCAGCTTCGGATGGAAGATGGCGTGGACTAGCGAGCTACACTGCATGCTGGGAGGAAGACCTGGCTCAGAAGACAGAGTGTTGAATTATGAACTTTATGGGTTAAGACAATTCCTTTGGAATGTGACAGAAGCGGGTTCAAATCCCAGTTCTGCCAATTACCATCTGTGTGACCTTGGACAAATCACCCTCATCATTCTCATCTGGACTTGGTCTCTGGTTGTCAAATACCCACCTGAAGTGAACCCTCTACTTCTGTACATTTCCACATATTCCTATTACCCATTTCCTCCCACCCCCTCACAATTCAGGAAACAACAAAAAATACAAAAGTTAAACACACACACACACACTCACTCCTAAAAGTCCAGTCACCTAGAAATTACTACTATTAATTAACATTAGAGTATTTGCCCTGGCCGGTTTGGCTCAGCGGTTAGAGCGTCGGCCTGCGGTCCAGAGAGACCGGGTTCGGTTCCCGCGAAGGGCACGTACCTCGGTTGCAGTTTGTCCCTGGCCCTGGTTGGTCGTGTGGGTGGCAACCACTCGATGTGTCCCTTCACATTGATGTTTCTCTCTCTCTCTCTTCCTCTCTCTCCCTCCCGCTCTGTCTGAATAAAAAATGCAAAAATGTCCTAGGGTGAGGATAAAAAACAAAAAACAAAAACAAAAACAAAACAACAACAAAAAAAACATTAGAGTATTTTTCTAAACATCTCCTCATGTATATAACATAGTATACACATTCAGACACTAAAATAGGTATAATCTAGAAATAGGATAATAGGCCCTGGCTGGTTTGGCAGTGGATAGAGCATAGGCCCTCAGATCGAAGGGTCTCAGGTTCAATTCCAGGTCAAAGGCATGTATCTCAGTTGCAAGTTCGATCCCCTACCCTGTCGGGGTCGTGTGGGTGACAACCAATCGATGTGTCTCTCTGACATCAATGTTTCTCTCTCCCTCCCTCCCTTCCACTCTAACTAAAAATGGAAAAATATCCTCGGGTGAGGATTAACAAATAAATAAATAGAATAAAAACAGGATAATAGTATTAATTTAACTTTACTTGCATTTAATGAAAGCAAAATAACTAAAGTAGAACTGAAAATAATAAATGAACTTGGATAAATTATTTTTTAATCACAGAGATTGTTTCCTGAAAGAACTCAATTAAGAAAAATTATGAAAGAAATTAGTAAATGTATGTCATTTTAAACCATATGTTTCAATTTAATCTATACTGGATTCTGTATTATGAAAAATGGGTTTTTATTATACATATTTACATCTTGCCCTAACTATAACCTTGGACCTAGGCTGATGAAGCTGCCACTCTGGAATGCTGCTGGTCACCATGAGAGAGGCACAGGGTGCTGAGGAGACTCTCACTATCAATTACATTGTTCATCAATAAAGACACAATCATTTTTCTGCTTATATCTCATTGGCCAGAACTAGCACATGCCTCCACACAACCACAAAAGGTCAAAAAGTGCAATCCTGATTCCTGCTATATGCTCCAAATGCAGACGCTGGAAACATCCGGCAACTTAGTGAACAGATGACCAAATGGGTGATTTGCCTTTTCTGCCAAAGAATGAAGAATCAGCCCAGCTGGTGTGGCTCTGTGGTTGAGAGTCAACCCATGCACCAAGAGGTCGCTGGTTCAATTCCTGGTCAGGGCAAATGCCCCGGTTGTGGGCCCAATCCCCAGTGTGGGGCAGGCTGGAGGTGGCCAATCGATGCTCTCTCTTATTGATGTTTCTATCTCTTTCCCTCTCCAAAATCAATAAAGAAAAAAAAAATCAAATGCACACGCTCTTTACAAAAAAATGAAGAATCATTTACCCTTGAAGTTCAACTTAACTTGACAAAGTGGTCTGTCTGTTTTTCCTAGAATAAGATACATATTCCTTTTTTAATGGAAAAATTAAACTCTTCACTCATTTCAGAGAAGTTTTCTTCTATTACATCTTTGAACACTTTTGCTGTGATTTTCTCAAATCTTTCTTCTTTGTAAACAATTCAGTGCTCAACCACATCTACTCTGATCCTTGCTGTTTCTATTTGTTAGATCCCATATAGTATTATTTTTGGCCTTTTTTTTGCCCTTAGCTCTGCAACCTCCCTTTTCCTCTCGTTCTGTTGTTTTAAGAACCCTTAAAAATTCAGGTTCTTATTAAATGTCTCAATGTCACAATAGTCTCAAAAAGGAGATTGCTTCTTTTTCCAAGGTGAGTTCTTCATTAGAGTTCTGCATGTCACGTGACTTGCCCTTTTTTGGCAAGGGTTTCCATGACACCTCTTTCCATCCCGCTCAATTTAGGCAATTTTGTCCACAGTTTCCATTTACCCTGATGCCAATTAAATGAATTATTTTTTTTAAATCCTTTCCTGTTTCTAAGCTATGGGTTTGAGACTGTTGGTTGTGTGTGACATTCTGTGGCCTAAGAGCCTAGCAAGATGGGTAAAGCGCAGACAGACCTATCAACAATCTTTATTTAGAAGAAAAAGATTATGTTCCCTCACCAGAGATTCTTAAAAGTTCTGTAACAGGGTTTATTCTGTCTAGTACGGGGGCATTCCCAGTTCCCATGGAGGAAATGCCCTTTAGATTTGGAACATTCTCCTTCAGCATGTACCCCGGAAGCTTATCTTTCTACCTGGGCAAACACCACCCACATACATAGTCACCTGACTCCCTCAGCAGCTGTTTCTACTTTCTATCAGTTGGAAGGAAAACAAATTTTTTTCTCCAAATTTGGGGGGCGGGTATATCTACACTGGGCCAGGCAAGGCTCAAGGCACTGGGGATTCACCAGTGAATCAAAGTCAAAGTCCCTGCCCTCAAGGGGCTGACCTTTGGGGTCCATGGGCATGGTAGACTGGAAACAAGTGAACAAACAGGTGAACAAGGACATTTCTCATGGTGACAAGTGTTAGAGGAAGAGAACAACTGCGTGACGGACGGCGATGGAGGATTCCTTAGACAGGGTGCTACCAGACGCCGGCAGATCGCGCGTTGAGGCCGGTCAAGGGGTTGACCAACCAGCTTCACCTGCGCCCGCTTCTCGGGCGGAGCCTCGCTCTCCCTCACGCCCAGCCCGAGTTCCGACCACAGCCGAGCGAGCGGACACCCCCAGCCTCAGCTACTTACACCTTCAGCTGCGAGGCGCAGTCCTCCTTGAGCATCGCATCGGCCAGCTGCTGCAGAAGAGCATCCTCCGTGCCCACCAGCTGCCCAGAGAGAGAAGGCGGCCGATTGACACCTGGGCGCGGCAGTCCCTCTGGAGGGCGCGGGGCTCCGGGCGCGGACCGAAGGCGGCCACGACCCCCAGCAGACAGGCTCCAACGCGCAGGGCGTCATTTACCGAGAGAAGACTCCGCCAGGCACGGATTGAGCGCCTGAGGTTTGCGCCCTCTCGGGTCCTGTCCGCACAGCACTTACTACTTTCCGGACTCTCCCTCCGACTGCCTGGCCACTCCGGGAGGCCAGACTCTGAAACGCGGGAAAACCGAGTCCCTACCCGGGGCGGAACTCTGCCCCCCCCCCCGACCCGGAAACCAATAAAAAAAAAAACAGGAAAGAGCACGCCGCACACCTATTGGTGGGGGCGTCCGTCAGCCTCAGAGGGCGGCTACTTCGATTGGTTCAGAGTGTGGCTATCCCGCCCACCACCCCAGCGCGCGCCAGCACCAGGGAGAGCGCAGAGAACCCGGCCGCTGAAGCAAAGTCGAGGAGGAGAGGCCCGCCGGGAAGCGGGGCTGCTGACGCCTACCAAGATGGTGGCCGCGTTCAGGCCAGGCAGCTGGTCCTGCGGCCGCAACACCGACATCCCGGTCGCGGGCCGAACCGCCGCTCAGGTGGTGCGCGCCTTGCTTTCAAACCGCGCCGCGGCCAGTCCCTAGTGCTCCTGCAGAGGTACGTAACCCTCTCTGGGCGGAGTTTCGCGAGGCCGCGCCCTCTTAAAGGAAACGCTACCTCTTTTCTGAGAGGGTGTTCCCGCGCTGGCCCCAGACTCCGAAGGTCTACCGGTTGGACAGGCCTTCTATTTTGTGTCGCTCAGGAAGAAGGTATTCAGTGAGTCATTCGTTCACTCATGCGCATCCCCTGTACGCTTTTTTTCCTTCAATCCTCACTGAGGATATGCTTTAACTGACTTCCAGAGACAGAGGGAGAGATGTGAAACATCGATCACATCGATGGATTGCCTTCCGAACGCACCCAACCCGGGGTCGAACCCGCAACCTAATCATGGAGGGAATCAACCCGCAAACTCCTCGGGCTCAGACGCTCCAACCAACCGAGCCACCGGCTCACCATACCAGGGCAGGGGTTCCATGAAGCCATTTACTTCCTGCTCTTTCTAAGCAAGATATTAGTGTCATGAGCAGCGAGAAGGGTTTACGTTAAACAGGGAGTATACCTCTGCTCTCCCAGATGTCACAGCAAATAACACACTGTGGTTTCGGCCTGACTTCCCCAGTAAACTGAGTTGATCGATAATGTCTGTTCCATCCATGTTCTCAGGGTGGGGCATTGGGTCTGCCCTAGGAAATAATGACTAAGTCACTGCTGAGAATGAATGAATGAATGAATATACATCAACCCATTCATTCAACAAATATCTATTGAGCAACTACCATGTACCAGACACTTTTTATTTTATTTTATTATTGTTTTTTTTAATCCTCACACGAGGATACTTTTCCATTTATCTTCAGATAGAGCGGAAGGGAGAGAGGAGAGAGAGAAAGAAAGAGAAACATCAATGTGAGAAAGACCCATCGACTGGTTGCCTCCCGAACCACCCTGTCCAGGGCCAGGGATGATCGGCAACCGAGGTACATGCCCTTGGCCGGAATCAAACCCAGGTCTCTGGTCTGCAGGACTACACTCTAACCACTGAGCCAAACTGGCCAGGGCAAGTACCAGACACTTTTTTTTTTTAAATCCTCACCTGAGGACACTTTTGCATTTATCTTCAGATAGAGAGAGAGGGAGAGAGGGAGGGAGAGAGAGAGAGAAACATCAATGTGAGAGAGACACATCAAGTGGCTCTCACCCACACGACCCCAACCGGGGCCGGGGACAAACTGCAACTGGTTTACGTGCCCTTAGCGGGAACTGAACCTGGGACTCTCTGGTCTGCGGGGCGACGCTCCAACTGCTGAGCCAAACCAGCCAGGGCACCAGACACTTTTTAAAGTGCTGGGTATGCCTGGCCAGTGTGGCTCACTGGTTGAGCGTTGACCCATGTACCAAGAGATTGCCGGTTTGATTCACAGTCAGGGCGCATGCCTGGGTTGTGGGCCCAATCCCCAGTAGGGGGCATGCAGGAGGTGGCCAGCTGATGTTCTCTCTCATCGATGTTTCTATTTCTCCCTCTCTCTTCCTCTCTCTCTAAAATCAATAAAGAAAAAAAAAATGTTTTTTTATCCTCACCCGAGGACATTTTGGCATAGAGTGAGAGGGAGAGAGAGAGAAAGAGAGAGACACATCGATGTGAGAGAGACACATCGACTGATTGCCACCCACACTACCCCAACCGGGGCAGGGGACAAACTGCAGCCGAGGTACATGCCCTTAGCAGGAACCGAACCCAAGTCTCTCTGGACCACAGGCCGATGCTCTAACCGCTGAGCCAAATCGGCCAGGGCAAGAAAAAATATTTTAAATAAAAAATAAAGTGATGGGTATACAAACTGGCAGTCTCTGCCCTCATGTATCTTACGCTCTGGTTGGAAAGATAAGAAGCAAGTAAGTATATAACTGTTGGGAGAAGCCATCTGCCATGGGCCCTGATCATCCCTGAGTATGCCAAGAATACAAGATCCCGAGAGCTCTTTGCCCAGGCCATTTCTCAGGGCTGTGCTTGCAGCCAGCAACCTTGAGGAATGAGGTAACATCTCCGCCAGAGAAAAGAATAGGCCTACCACTCCCTATGAAAGCAGTGAACCTCCGCTCTTGTAATGTCATCCACAAGGTGCACAGGCATCCGTACGGGTGCTTCCCAGGGGTTGGAGGGCATGGGGATCTGACAAACACAAAGCCCTGGCTGCTGCTTTCTCCATGAGTAACCAGGTCCCTTGGCTCTTACTGAGGAACTGCATGGCTTCTGCCAGCATCCAGGTGAGTGGGGGCTTGTCACATGGGCAGTGCAATAGAAACTAGTTGTGTGTAGGGGCCATGCTGTGATGAAAGGTAGGGATTGGCAGGGAGGCCAGACCCAGGCCTGGAGATTTTGTACCAAGAACACCCTGGCAGGGCCATTAGAGACCCTCTGGGCCAGTGGTTTTCAAATTGGCTTCTTCAGAGCACTGGGGAGATGTCTCAGGGACACTTGAAGGGCAGGGCGGAACTTCGTGGGCAGGGTCCAGGAACTCCACCCCACCATTTAACAAAGCAGCTCTGGCTTTATCGTTGTTATACATTGAGTTTCCTGTAAGTTTTTGTCTGAATAAAGAATCATGAGGTTAAAACAATACCTAAAGGCCACTGATCACATTTTTTTACAGATTTATTATAGTGGACATATAATAAGCTGTACGTGTTTAAAATATACAATTTGGTAAGTCACGACTTATGTGTACACCTAGAAAACCACCACCACAGTCAGGATAATGAACAAGCCCATGACTCCCACCCTGTTTCTCCACACCCCTTTGACGTCCCTCCCCCCACTCCTCCCCACCCTCCCCACCTCCTACTGTGGAAAAGCACCTCAGCAGCTTTGCTGTCAGTAGCCCAGCACTGGAGACAACCCAAACGTCCCTCAGTGGTGAAGAGACAAAGGAACTGTGGTGCACTGATTCAGGTACCATCAATGAATGGCGAAAGCGTAGCGCTGAGCGACAAGCCAGACACAAAAGAGTACATGCTGTGTGGTCCCATTGATAGGAAATACAAACACAAGCAAAAGTGATCTGTGGCGATAGAATCAGATCGGTGAGTGCCTTTGGGAAGGAGGTACTGACTGGCCAGGCAGGCGGGAACTGTCTAGGGTGACGGAATATCCCAGACATTGATCTGGGTGGTGGTTGCACAAGTGTAAAGGCAGGTAAAAATTCATCACTTAAGATTTGTGTTTTCCTGTATGTTCCTTATATCTCAGTGGAAATCCCTCTGTGAAGTCCACCTCACTCTCCTTGCCCCACAAACTGCTGGAGAGGACCCACCAGCCTTGCAGGGGCCCAGATGGTTCCAGAGCTGGCAGAGTGTCTCTGGGTGGGGGACCCGGGGTCCTGAAGTCGGCTACCCACAGCCTTTCCCACCTGCCTGTCCTCGGTTTCTGGGCATGAACTCCCTGGGGAGAGCCTCCTCTCTGCCCTGTGGGCCTCTGGGGCTGCCCTCTCCCTGGGAGACAAAACCACTGCTGTTTATGGAATGCTCACTGAGCACCGGACACTTTGCAGACACTGTTAACACAGGAAGGACGACCCAGGCTTGGGAAGTGGACCCCACCCCCACTCCCTCCCCAGCTTTGTCATGGCGAAGCTGAGTGACCCAGAAGAAGGAGAAGGTAAGCGCTTTACCTCTGAGCTGTAGCCCTCATCCCACAGTGGGTTCATAATACTAACCCAGTTGGAGGACCAATGTGGGGGGCCATGCCTGGCATATGGGGATGCTCAGTGCCTGGGACCCACAATTACCTTAGGCCATATCCCAGCCAGAGGGCCTGTGGGGCTGGGAGCCAGACCAGGGCTCAGGCCCTGGCACTGTGACCTTGCCCTGTGATCCCGAGTGATGGATAAATGAGTTCACATAAAGCACTGAAAGAAGTGTCTGGCACATGACAAATGCCACATTAGACCAATGTGTCAAGACTCTCGGTCTCAATCTTGGTCCTTCCCTGTACAACATATGACCATCATTGGCTTTTGGTGACTGCTTGTGTCCCCATCCACTTGCCAGGAACCCCAATCTCTCCCTGTTCTCAAACGGCAAGCCTCCAAACCCTCCCAGTTATCTCAGCCGGGGTTCCCTCCTCTCAAAGGCCCTCCAGCTGTGGGGCCCAGCAGCCTGCTGTGTGGCTCCCACTCCTCTCTGGATTTCCCCAAACCCGCCCTGCCTGTCATCTCTGTACCACGTGCACAGTTCCAGGGATCCAGAAGAAAAGGCTAGTTGCCAGGGCAACAGAGGATAAAGCCCTGAATCTACCAGGCTGTTGATTGGCTGAGACAGGTCCCACCTCTCGCCATCCTGAGGGTGGGGGGCAGAGGAAAGGGCCTCTGATGGGCAGGGAGAGGTACCAGGGTGCTGAGCCAGTCCAGGACTGTCCCCTTCTGGCCCAGCCCAAAGCCTTGGGCCTGGGAAGCTCTGTCTCCCGTGGGGGGCATTAGCCTCACCCTTTCTCTGCCTCCAGCACCCAGGACCGCCACAGATGGCAGTGTCTCTGGGGGTAGCAGCTGTGACTAAGTCCACAGGCCAATGCTGAGCCGCTGAGCCGCTAGGCTGAGGTGGTGTGCTCAGTGCGGAGTCCCCGGAACAGGCATCTGCAGGACGTGAGGTGGGTCTGTGGGCACGTGGTGGGTGGGAGACCGAGTGGTGTCAATGGCTTGGGAGGCAGGGAGAGGGGCTCTGCAACCCTCACACTGTTCTGGACAGGCCCTTGGCTGGAATGGGACTGGAAAATTCCTTCTAGATCATCTGATAACTCCCCACCCCCACCCTGTCACTGTACATGGGAACCCTGAGGTCCAGAAAGGGTGAGGGGTGGCCCAAGGTCACAAAGAAGGCCAGTGAATGTTTTACTTCAACTAGGCCAGTCCACCGAGAAGCCAGGCAAAGGGCTAGGAGTCCTCAGTCTGCCCCTGAATGCCAGGGATTTTGTTCATAGAG